TTGAATTGCAAAGAACAAAATCATAAGAATTCCCACAAGCTTTCATTTTCCACTGGTCATTTCTCCATCTCTCTTGACTTTGAAATCCATAGTCTCAACTTCAGGCTGGAATACAAAACCTCACATCAGCTTCAACTAGAGTCTGAAATGCTGCAAGGTATTATCACTTGAATCCTTAAAGTGTATTCCTAGTGAATGCTTTCCCATTTACATTTAGCAGAGGCGTTTTTTGGGTGTTCTTCGTCAAACAGGTTAAGTTACTGATAGAAAAACATTAAGCACTGGAACACCCCTACACATCAGTGTAATTATAGTTATTGTTCTATTTATATTGTATGTAAATACAGTTAAAGTATTGTGATGATGCTAAAGATATGTGCAATGGTGGATAGACCCAGAGATCAAAGAGATTATTTAGTATCCAACTCAAAGCTCATAAATTATCTGTTCAGAGGTGCCTTACTCTGGACTGCTTGCTTGTTATCATTATTTTGAGTTGCCTTATGAAATGGTGCTGTAATTTTTTTTTAAATTTAAGCTATTTTTCGAATCAACCTGTTCAGAGACGTTATTACATACCTCTGGAGCAGGTGGGACTTGAAGCTGGGCCTTTCAGGGCTAGGGGCACCGGTACTGCACCACAAGAGGGCCTAAGATATGAGCAAGGGGGAGAAAATAGTGAAAGAGGAGGGTAGTTATTAGCTAAGGGGTGATTGACTGAATGGACACTATGAGAATGGTGGCCAAGTCTGGCTCCATTGATCCTAGGACAGCCTGTTGACTCAGAGCCACCACAGTACTCAGCAACCTGCCTGGTCTGCAGGTTGGAAGACAGTAGATCTATAGGAAAACTGGCAGGGTTCCAACACTGAGGGATGAGAATACCAGGAAAGACAGTTCCCAAGTTGACGTGGAATCTACTGAGAAATAAAAACAAGAGCCAATCATACAGGAGTCCATCAAGTCTACTTCACCACTTACAATGATCATGGACGAACTGTTGTAGCCATTTTCCTAACCTATCCCCACATTCCTTGATTCTCTTAAAGACAAAAATCTATTGATCTCAGTCCTGCACATGCTTAAAGACTGGGTATTCAGGATTCTCTGAGATAGAAAATTCCAAAGGTTCACAACCATCTGAGTAAAGACATTTCTCCTCACCTCTGTTCTAAATGGCTGGGCTCTTAACCTAAGGTTACAATTCCTAGTTTTAGACTCTCTAGCCAAAATGAAACAGCCTGTCCACATCTCTCCTGTGAAACCACTGAATAATGTTATTCATTTCAATAAGATTATATTCCATTGTTCTAAACTCCAGAGAATATAATACTTCATTTTCCCTTGTAGATCAACCCTTTCATACCAGGAACCAATCTGGGTGAATCTGGCAGGTAGATTTTTCCTTTAGAAAGGATCAAAAATGGACACTGTGTGGTTTTACCAATGCTCTGCACAATTATAAGCCCCCACAAACATATGGTATAATTTGCTTGTGGTCCCCTTTGACTGCATTGCTAGATGACACTGAATTGAGAAGGAGGTGCAAAATTCAATCCAGGGTTCTGTTGCCCTTCTTCTAACTACCAGATCCAGCACTCAACCAGGGAATGGTATTCATGCCAACTTTGCAGGATTCAGTAAGACGGACTTTTTTGATTGGAGTAACAAAGCTAAACTAAAAAAAAATACAGGGTGGACCACTATTCATTAAATAAAACCAGATTTCTAATGCCAAAAATGTTGCTGTGTTTTGAATTATGTCATTGGGTGTTGATGAATATTATGTACATTCGTTTCAGTTTTTTATACCATTGCCATCTGTAATTATTGGCAGAAAGTACACTGGATTCAGTGCCTGGATGGAAACCTCACATAAAATCCCTCAGAAATCTACTCAAGAACCTTAGATATATTAAACGGATTCCAAGCAGTAATCTGAGTCAGCCATTTGGATAAGTTGTAAATTGTCTGAGTCTCACTCTGCCAATTCAAAACACAAGGACACAGACCTTCTATTTGCTCCATTAAGACTTGTCCCTCCATTCCTCCAGACCTTTCATTTTAACATTGACCCTGTTTTTAATGGCCTTTTTATTTTTGTGCCTCCTGCAATTTATTCAAAGCATTCTTTGAATAAAGACGGTCTTCCAGCTGTCAATTTAAAATCCCTTTCCATTATTTAAACGTATCTCTCTTTTCCTTACTGTACAGGCCTATTTTGAAGAAATATTCTGGAGTTACCTGCTGCCACTTAAAATTTCAGGTGCTTTAACATGGTGACTCTTTTGACTGCCCTCTCTTTTAGACTTCAGAGTTTAAACCCCTTCAGTTATGTCACTGCTTTGTATTCCTGTCAGCAATCCATTCCCCCTGCACTGGTCATGATTTTGCGAAGGATTCAGCAATATGTAGATGTACCGTTACACTGACTGTCACTCATCTCTGTTTACTCCCAGTGCCAAGTCCCCAGCTGTCAGTTTGACCTTTTATACCGCACATTTAAAAACAAATCTTTCACTGGTGTTCTCTCTGAAGAGAAAACCTGTGACCGGATCCAAGCTGTTTTGTATGTCCAGGCCTTGAAATGCAGCAGAGATAGTAGGAACTGCAGATGCTGGAGAATCTGAGATAACAAGGTGAAGAAGGGTCTAGGCCCGAAACGTCAGCTTTCCTGCTCCTATGATGCTGCTTGGCCTGCTGTGTTCATCCAGCTCTACACCTTGTTATCTTGAAATGCAGCATTTACTTTTTGAGTCATCATCTCATGTGTTTTCAAGGACATCCGTAAACATCCACCACGCCAAAGTTGCCTCTTTCTTTTCATAAAGTTCATGGTGACTGTAGACAGACTTTCCAATCGCAGATGCTGTATAGTCAAATTCAATCCAGTCCTCAGCCAGTGTCAGTAAACCTGTGCTTTCCCCAGCTTTCACTAGATCATAAATGTGTAGAATTCTGTGGCTTTTTTTTTTACCCAGTTTAGTGATATTTTTCTAGCTTCCAATACAGGATTTTACAAAGTTACAAAGCAGTTAATTACAGCATAGAAACAGATCCAAAAGGACTAGTGCCAATATTTCAAATTTTGCATGAATGCTTTCTGACCATTTTTCATCCAACCCTAAATGACATATGCTTCTGTTCCTTTCTCTCTCATGTGCTTATGTGATTTCTCCTTAAATACATCTCCGCTATTGATTTCAACTATGATACGGAGTTCCATACCCTGGGTTGAACTTCATATAGAATCATACAGCATGGAAACAGACCCTTCGGTCCAACTTGTCAATGCCAACCAGGTATCCTAAACTGAACTAGTTCCATTTGCCTGCATTTGGCCCATATCCCTCTAAATCTTTCCTATTCATGTACCCATCCAAATATCTTTTAAATGTTGTAACTGTACCCACACCTGTCACTTCTTCTGGCAGCTCATTCCATACATGCATCACTCTCTGCATGAAAAGAATTGCCCACTGGATCCCTTTTAAATCTTTCCTCTCTCACCTTAAACCTATACCCTCTAGCTTTGGACTCCTGTACCCTTGGCTATTCACCTTATCTATGTCCCTCATAATTTTATAAACCTTTATAAGGTCATTCCTCAACCCCTCATACTGAAGCGTAGAAGTCCCAGCCTATCTAGCCTTTCCTTATAAAACAAACTCTTCAGTCCCAGCAACATGCTTGTATTTTTTTTTCTTGTTCTCTTTCTAGATAACAACAACATTCCTATAGCAGGGTGACCAGGATTGTACATTGTATTCTAAAATGTCTTAAATAAAGAATCAGAGTACTGCTGAGAGACATTAGAAATGAAAGTGTCTACATGTTCACTGCAAATACTTTTGTCCATTTTATGCCAGATTTGAACCAAAATAGGATCATTAAATTGTGATCTCATACCAGTCTGACCATCTTTTCACCATCTCCTTCAAACCTATTATCTATCATCTGTGTTATCCAATAAATGAATCTCAAGGAATGTTGTTCCTGTGTTATTCTACCTCATAAACAATGAGCAGATTTTCTCTCTCTGTCTCGATCTTCCACTTCCTCTTTGTTTTATATACGTAGCATCAGGAATACAAGACTTTTGCTCTACAGCATCAGTATACTGATGTGGAGTTTGTCTCCCCATGTCTGCGTGAGGCTCCTCTGTGTGCTCCGGTTTCCTATCACAGTCTAAAGTGTGCAGGTTAGGTGGATTGGCTATGCTAATTTGCCCATAGTGTCCAGGGATGTGCAGGCTGGGTATGTTAGCCATGGGAAACGCAGTGACAGGGTAGAGGAGTAGGCCTGGGTGGGTGCTCTTTGGAGGGTTGGTCTGGACTCAATGGGCCACATGGCCTGCTTCCACACTTTAGGGATTTTATGATTCTACACTAAGTCACCAAAAAATGTTTTCTAGTTGTGTGTGCAGATGGTGTGAGGAAGCATCAGTGTTCTGACCACAAAATCACTTGTAGTAATACTTTAAAATTAAAGTGCCCAGATTGAGCCTTCAGACATCGAGGCCGCACACTCTGGGAATCCCACCTTAAACTTTTTTTACTTTCCTCTCCTTAAAATCTACCTTTTTGGCTAAAACTTTTATCGGTTTTATGCAGGGTCCATTTGTGTATGATTATGCCTTTGTGAAAACAGTTGCCTTGGGATGGTTAATGGCTCTTTTTAGATGTCCCCAGTCCCAGGGCAATCCCTTTTGCACCAGTGTGATTTATTGCAAGAAAGTCCACCCTTATCGAAATTAGGACCAATTAATGCTATCTTTAAGGATGGTTCTGATCTCTAGATTTATGCTCACTAGAACCTTTATTCAAACAGTCCAAACTGCACTTGTAAAATATTTACAAGCATAAGCAGTGGAGGCTTTCATTCGATCAGTTGGGATTAGAGCCCAAACATCCATCTATAATCTGACCCAGATCACTACCCGTTCCCTTGCTTCATGTCAATAAATTTAAATGAATGACAGAAGTTATCAAGAGGAAAAATATTTTTCAACCTAACTTTTATTCAAAAATCAACAATTAAAGGAGAATCAATATTGAACCACTCTACTATATCTAGCATATAAAATATATGCTATTGTGCAAAACAAATCCAACAATCAATGTACAGCCTTCTTCTCATATACAAAATAGACCAAAACAGATCAATATCTTCTGTAAGACTATCTAGAAGTATCAAAGTAAACAAACAATGATTTATATACAGTTCTTGTTGATTCTTCTGAAACCCTTTTTTGGCAAATTTTGACAGGAGATCTCCTGGTTGGCTAGGATTAAGAAACAATCTGTTCTTGGCCTCTCAATCCATTTTCTTCTGCATCAATGCTCATGCTGTCATCACCATAGAAATAGCAAGGTGGTCTTACAGGGGGAGCTTCAATAATTAAGACTCCTTCAGGAGACAAGGATGCAAAAACTGTCACGGGGTCAACTTCGATGGGTAACCTAGAGAGGCAGAGAATGACATAATATTGAGCAAAAAGCTTTCACACCAAATTCTGCAATCCTGACCTAGTTCGGCACTTCAGTTTTACGTCCAACACATATGAATAGAAAGGTTAAGTTGCCTTCATCTCACTCTTTCATTGGAGAGAGAGATGATTGATGGTGGTTTATCACACCTCAGGTGAGGGGAGAAGTTGAGAAGGAGAGTACTCCTAGGTAACCTCAGCTGGTGCAGTTGGCATTACCACGCATTACAAACCAGCCAACTGAGCTAACTAACCTCCATAACAACATAATTTTGTTGTGTTTCACTTGTGTTTTATGCAATGCCATTTATAATAGTGGAGGCATGTTAGAAATGTAGCAGATTCAACTTAAAAAATACATTTGTCATGCAAAAATATCTTCAGCAAAGTTAAAATAATGAGATGGAAAGACCAAGTCTGTGTCTGGTCTTGTAACAGCACCCAGCAGTGAGCAAGTTGATTGATCAACTGCTATTAGAAATAAAGAGCAAAACAGTACAGATGCTGAAAATCTGGAAGAAAAATAGGAGATGCTGGAAACACTTATCAAGTCAGGCAGCAGCTGTGGAGAAATAAGCAGCGAACATTTTATGTAAATTCTTCACAAGAACTAGAATTGTTTCCGCACTTGAATTTTTTTTTATTCATTCATGGATGAGGGTGTCCCTGCCGAGGCCAACATTTATTGTCCATCCCTAATTTAAGGGTCAACCACATTGCTACGAGTCTAAAGTCACATGTAGGCCAGATGGCAGTTTCCTTCCCTGAAGGGCATTAATGAACCAGATGGGCTTTTAACAACAATCAACATTGGATTCATAGTCATCATTAGACTCTTCATTCCAGACGACTTTTTATTGAATTCAAATTCCGCCATCTGCTGTGGTGGGATTTGAACCCGGGTTCCCAGAATATTCTGGATCCCTGGATTAATTGTCTAGTGATAATAACACTAGGCCATCACCTTCCCTATGAATTAGAATTGTAAGTCATTGACCTGAAATGCAGAAATAGTGATACAGTAATGGTCATGCTATCTTGGTGATACCAGTCAATCAACATGTCAGTTATCCCATTGCAGCTTGTGATGATAGTAGAAATTAAACAAAAGCACTTTTTGATATACGCTGCAACTACAGAACCTCTCCACCTGTAACACTTTACTGTAAGCATTAAGAGAAAAATATTTTAATCTTCAGTCACTTCCTTTACCATGGCTTCCTACTGACAACATTAATATTATACATAGTAACAGTGATGCCTAGCAGGAAAATCAGAAATTCCGGTTGTGGAGTCATAGAGATGTAGAGGATGAAACAGACCCTTTGGTCCAACTCGTCCACACCGACCAGATATCTTGCATTAATTACGTCCCATTTGCCAGCATTTCACCCATATCCCTCCAAACTCTTCCTATTCATTTACCCATCCAGATGCCTTCCCCAAAACAATGCAACAGCTTATAAAACAGTAATTACAGCTCCAAAAAAAAGAAATCAGTTCCAATACTGAAAAAACCCCAAAAAAGGAGCAGATCTTACAGCCACAATTTTCTCCCATCCTCCATCTTGGATTATCCAGAATCCTACTTGGGGGAATATTCTGGTTGGCAGGGTGCTAAATAACAATAAATTTTACTGTGTAATACTTGCTTTTAATGTCATAAACTCATTAAAGTGACAAATGTAACAAGACTTCATTGTTTCACTCCAAGTTAAAAGTAAGCTGATAATATTGCTGCTGAAAATATGACAAGCACGTTGGATTTGAAATCTTGTGGTTCTTTTGTTTCCTGCCAGTTTGTTGGGGGTTGGGGCAAACAATCTCATCAGATAATTGCTGTGGGATACAAGGAGAATCCTATGGAATTTCCAGGCTATTCTTTGCAAACAACTGCTGCATATGTACTTATTGAGAAATGAAAATGAATCAGTGATTTAATGCAAGAAAGTTTTTGATACCCATGGCAACCCAAAAAGAACACACTACCAGTGTGTTAACCTTCTGACTGCTGGCAGTTCCAGAAGAAAATAAAACAAATCCACTTTCCTGAGGCAGAAAGTTTTAAAAGTTTATTTTTAAGCATGGAGGTCTTCAGAATGAAGTTATTCACATACACAGTAACAAACGTAGTCATTACAGATGGAGCTGAGAATTGTGGGCTTTTGGGAGGAATTTGCTGCCCAGTGTGAAAAAGAAAGGTGCTAAAAGTGTCAGCCGTGGCTCACTTGGTTGTAAACTCACCTCTGAATGAGAAATCCAGGCTGACAGTCCAGTACAGAACTGTGGGAATGCTGCACTGTCAGGAGGTACTATCTTTTAGATGAGATATTAAGTCAAGGCTCTAATTGCTTTCTCAGAGAGCTGTAAAAGTTTTTATGACAGTATTTCAAAAAAGAGCAGGGGAGCTCTCCATCAGAGATAGTAAGAACTGCGGATGCTGGAGTCAGAGATAACACAGTGTGGAGCTGGATGAACACAGCAGGCCAGGCAGCTTCACAGGAGCAGGAAAGCTGACGTTTCGGGTCTGGACCCTTCTTCAGAAATTATAGCGGAGCTTTCCATGGTGTCCTTGCCAGTATTTATCACTCCATCAATGTCACAAAAACAGGTTATTATCTGTTCATTGTAACATTGCTATTTGTGAAATTCTTGGTGGAGCATTTCTGACAACAGAGTGAGTGCACTTTGAAAAAGACTGCATTTGCTGTATAGTACACGTTGTGTTCCTGAAAGGGCCTCTACAAGTTAATGTCTTTCCTTTAAATGTGGCCAGGAGAATAATTACCATTTATATTGGAATGCTGTCCGGTATCTCATTAACTTCAGGGCTAGCAGCTTCATGATCACTGGATGCTTGGTGCATTGATTAGTGTCACATCCAAATCCATTCAACTTTTGCCAGAACAAACCCTTTCACATTGCACATGTTTCAAAACAACTTATACTCATATCTAAATTAACATCCATCTGCTCTTCCTTAGACAATGCAATTGATTGATCTAAATCCCTTTGTGAGCCATTAATCTACATTATCCAACTCAACTGGGCATCATAATCAAATTTTATAACACTGGCTGAAAACAGGGGGAGACAAGTGATCCAGAATAAAATGCTGAGGAACTTTCTCCTTCCAAATGATGAATCAGCTAAATTCCTATTTATTTCATAAACTTCAATCTTGTTTAACAGCCTCACATCAGTCAAAGTAATACACAGAGCAGAGTTTGCCATTGCTGATTCTATGCAAACCTGTATTATTGGCACCTGTACAAGCCTTTATGGGAAGTTTGTTTGCCAACTATTTTAGTAGCCAATGACATTGCTGTGGGTCTGGAGTCACATGTAGGCCAGACCGGGTAAGGATGGCAGTTTCCTTCCCTAAAGAACATTAGTGCCCCAGATGGGCTCTTCTGACAATTGGCAATGGATTCATGGTCAGCATTAGACTCTTAATTCAGTTTTTTTTTTAATTGAATTCAAATTCCACCATCTGCCATGCTGGGATTCAAACTCAGGTGCACAGATCATTATCTGTGTCTCTGGATCAACAGTCCAGCAATAATATCACTAGGCCATCACATTCTCAAATATCTCTATGTTTAATTCACTCTCATCTTAAAACCAGTCCCACTAAGTTCAATTAATTCCATTTTGATTGATCGCTGATTGCATTTGGAAGTTGACACGTCCAAACGGATATACTTTTTTAGATTAAATTGTATTGTCACATGTAATCAAGTACAGAAGTACAAGAGTGCAGCAAAAAGTATTGTATGACACCACACATGGCACACACATAGGTACAAATTAACTAGGTACAAAACACTTAGGGAATGCTTACCTTTGTTTCTTTTACTATTTTGTACCTAAGTTAAAAGGTTAAGCATTACCTTCATAGAATTAGTAGAAAAATAAAGAAATAAGACAACAGTTAACATTAAATTTCTTCTTAATATAAACTAGAAAAACAAAAGAATAAAGTTAAGAGTTCAACAGTCTTTGTTGAGTCCTCCACTTAGCTCACTCTCTGGGGGCCTCAGCTGCCTGTTCTTGACACCACTGCCACAGACACCATACGTGTACAGTATGCTCCAAATAAGTAATCCCAAGATTCACATGGAGAATATCAGGGATGAGAAACTTTGGAGATGAGGACAGACTTGTGACGCAGCTACAATTTAAACTGTAGCAGAGATTGCCAAGAGGGAACTGAACTGAGGCTTTCAAGAAGATGCAGAAATATAATAAGCTGAGTAGGTAAGTACTATTTCCTGTACTTGGAGGTAGAACTGAATGGTGTTAAGTTCAAAAACATCACAGATAAATTTAGGAGAAACGTCTTTGAACAATAATAGCAGAACAGAATGCATGGCTATAGGGAGTTTTTTTTTAAGGGATTGCTAAGTACCCAAAGTAAATGGTGATACAGGTGTACAGAGAGAAAGCAGGGAAACGAGATTCATTTTGAATGGTTCTAGTTGAGAGCTGGCAAAGATATGAGGACTTCTCTCTTGTTAGATCCTAGAGAGGTGTGAGTTAGCTCAGTGGATTAGATAGCTGGTATGTGGATTTTGTTAATGCCAGCAGAATGGAGTTTAATCCCTGTTCTGACTGAGGTAGACTCAGACAGGATTCCTCACCCCATCTGTAATAAAATTAAATCAGCAGTTTGCTTTAGCTTGAGAAATGATTGCCAAGGATGTGGCTTCAGTCAGAGAACTGAAGAAGAAACTCCTAGAACCAAATGGAATCAGAGATATCTGGAAAGTGAAATGGAGGAGGAGACCAGGAAGAGCAGAACGGAAATGGCAGAGTGGTACCAGGTAAATAGAGGACAAAGGAAGAAGCAAAACATAGAAAGGAGACAAAACAAGAGCCTGTAAAGGGTTAAGTAAATAATCATCATGAATGTTAACAGTAATATTAATAATTCCTGTGTATTTTTGAGGCTGAGATGGATAGATTCTTGGT